CTACTTGAAGTCTCTGGGGAGAATATATTCTAAAACATGGGTATTTGACCACCTCTTGAGAATGCATTTCCCACAGTTTTGACTTCTGGTCACCCCTCTGAAGCCTTTTACTGCCCTGTGAGTTTCCCTTTACTGACAATCGCATTAAACGGCCAGGTTCGGTGGCTTTTATTGATTGTAAGCGTCCCCTCCCCGCACCTCAAGGGACTCTTAGAGCATTCTTTAATACAGCTTCCTTTCCAGCTCGGCCACAGTAATCGAAATAAATCTCTGCGGTGGATAAAGTGAGGCAAAGCGATGAGCCTTTCCTGGTCGCTCATTACCTCGTGATTGAAAAACCTCCCTCGTTGTTAGGCTTTCTTGGTTGTTCTTTTTTCTTTTCTTTTTTAGCAAAACCCGCTGAGTTTTCTAAAGGGTCACAGAAATTTTATAACTTACTAACTTCTAAGACATTTCTCAAAAACTGCAAATCTCATTCTTTTTATATCCATTTTAGCTGTTTCCAAAAACAAAAAAAAAATGCTTTAAGTACGATGTTTTCTGTGAGGAGAAACAGCCAGGAACAAAACAATCGCGTGTTAAAGTCTCAGAAATGCACAGTTCGGAAGGAACCAAGATTCTGCCCAGAAAAAGTGTATTAGAGGTGACTGAGCCAAATGCTGCTGGGGGCGGGGCCCGGCTGCGGAGCCAAAACTTCCAAGTGGAGCAGCACTGCCACCTAGAGGCCCGAAGTCTCAAGTTGACCCTGACCGAAAAGGAGCCCTGGTGGCGCTGTGGACTAGGTGCTGGGCTGCTAACCTCAAGTTAGGCGATTCAAACCGACCAGATGCTCTGCCCCCAGAATGAAAGTTCTATTAACGGTCAGTATGAGTCAGAAGGGACTCTGGCAATGGGTATGGTTTTTGATAGAGACTACACGTGTAGCAGGGCCTGGTACCAACAGATTTTTAGTCCATCATTTCATTTACCTTTAGGAGCATACATAGTATATGATGTGAATAAAATATTTGCTTCCTGCTTCTCATCATTAATTCCAGTGTCAGGAGATAATTATTTAACAAAAAGTCAGCCTGGCGGAACAAAACAAAGGATGTGAATCTGGAGGTCTGGGATAGATAGATAGATAGATAGATAGATAGATAGATAGATAGATAGATA